AATGAACTTTAAAAATTTTAAAAAATTTTACATGATGATCGGCAACATGCATAACCTGGCACAGATTTCAGAAATGCATCTAACTTACATGGTGATATCACACCATACAGGTTTTGAAACCAGTGTGATTTCAGAGGTAAATTTTGTGATATTCCACTAATTTGTTTACACACTTGGTTAATTTATTCAATTTCCGATTAATGAAAAATTCGACTCCGATCCATGCATACTTAGTTAATAGATAAATTACGTATTCCTTATACTTCTTTCACAATTGTTTTTACACGTCTATTTGTAGTAAATTCAAGAATTATAAAAATTATACATTTTTTTTTTTAAAAGACAATTTTCTCGACCATATCAACTGAAACCGAAATTAACCAATTAGAACGGTATTTTCAGTTACAGCCAAATTTTAGCATCAGACGCCGATGTTTTAACCCAATTTTTTAAACAATAAAAAATGCAGGTCCTGCTGGCGTGCATGGATTTCTGATTCATGGAAGGACATGCGTCTGATTGGTTGATGCAAATCAATTGCCCGGGTAACTTACTTATACACTGTAAAGTACTTTTTGAGGACGTAATGTATCACTATAAAAATGTTACCGCAAAAGCTATTTCTAACTTCGAAGTAACGTCAGTATTCACGGTGCAAATAATCTCTAAAAGATCTCACTCCTCGAATACTTTGCTTAGAAGACAAAATATATCACCGTTTATTGGATTACGTGAAATTATACTGTAAAGTGAAGATAACTGTTGTTACGAAAAAAAAAAGTAATATCATTAAATAAGCTTTTTTGTATAACAAGGTTTACTTTATTTAGACTTTTACATTGTTACGCCATTTTTAATGCAATTATTAAGTTATGACTACATTTGCATAAGTAGTATCTTAGTCAATTTGAGTCTAATAGAATGTATATAAATTAGGGTGTCCAGAATTCTGCAATTTTTATCCGTTATATTCTGCACATAATTGTACAGCTATCAATTTTATTTGGTAACTTTATGCGGGGATTTGACAAGACAATTGTCAAGTATTATTTCGGGCTAACAATAAGCTACGCCTCAAATTCTGCAAACTCTACGAGTTCAAATCATTAAGCCAATAAAAATACACTATTTAACTACGGATTCTGCAAATTCTGCAATTTGCAAATTTAATTGAATTCGGCAAATGCACCGCAAATTTTGCAGAATTTCTGCGATTGCAGAATTCTGGACACCCTAATATAAATAGAGTATTTTAGAGGATTCTTTGTGTACCGAGTATACTTTTGGAAGATAGTATTTTTATTGTCTTGTGCATAGTAATAAATCATCGGTTTCCTATTTCTAATGCTTACGACCAAAGTTAAATTGGCAGTGCAACAATAAAGTCTCTCTCTTGTAACACTGGAAAGATTCTACTTTATTACGTTAGAATTACTTTATTACGTTGGATTTAAACAAAATTTTATCGCTACGCTTAACTTGTAAATCAAAATTTTGGTTCATATCTTATAGATTCTTTAATTAGTTTGAGTTTATTAATAATAAATATCAGATCTACTTATTCTCTAAAGGATATGTAATAAATTCTTTTCCGTGTATTTATTAATTTGTGAACTTTATATGAAGTTTTTTTTTTTTTTTATTTCTACTAGATTTAACCTGTCGCTTCGCTGACAGTTTAAACTTATACTGATGTGCATAATGATAATAATTTGCACGTATGAATTCTGTGCCAGGTTTATGGCGCAGTTTTATAATTACCAAAAATTTTTTAAGCTCATTGTAGTTAGGGTATCGTTTAGACTAAGATTAAAGGTTAGGTAATTATATAGCTTTATTAGATGGTTTTTTATGCAGACGAACGATTGTTTTGGAATTTGTCGATCGTGTTACGTTACACCGTGATCTTGAAATCTGATTCGCAGATCAGGTATCTGCGCCACAAAAATATTGAAGAGCAAACAAAACATGCAACGAATAGATGCAGGAAGTACTAATTACGATGTTGCAAACTAAATAGCTCGAATGCTTGAAATTAGAATAATATATGTATTTTAATATTTATCGCTTTAAATATATATAATGGCACAGATTTCATTAATATTACATATAATATAACAGTAACAACAATTAATAGCTAGTGCTCTAAAGCACAATTATGATACATTGTAACGGTAATTAAACATAGGCTTTGTCCTTGAAAAATATTTACTGTAACGAATTAAAATTTTAGTTTCTTTATTCTTGTTTTAAACTTATATTTTAGTCGGTACCTTTTCCGCTTGTACATAATTTAGTGGTATTACCCCATCCATTTTGGTAAAAATGTCTAATATTGGTAAATTTCTTTTGAAAATGGTAATAATGGGTGGCTTGGTGGCTTAGCACATGTGAAATCGCGTATGCACCCAAATATCGCGAATACGCGATTACACAAATTTGTTGATCCATGCGCCTTGAGCGTATACACTCAGATCTAGGCGTATACACCCAAGGAATCGCGAATGCATTCAAATTAGAGCGAATTCGCTCAGATTAGAGCGAAAACACCCTATAAGATAAAAAAATGTATATAAACACACTAAATTCAATAAAGAAAACTAAGTTCTCATCCACTCTTAATTACCGATAAATAATAAAACATATCTACTTATCTGAATTTTCCCTTGTAAAGTATTCTCCGAATTCGACCTGTAACTTTAATAAACCCTTTCTAGACTCAATTCGACGGACTGAATTGATCGATTTGGATTATTAAGACTCGGATTCTAGAACGTTAGTGGAATCATTCACATTAGTAACTTGCGGGAATTGTGGTAGAGAACGGCGCTTACGATTGGTTATTCGACTCTGGTAATCCAACTTTAGTATCGCCCTTAGCAGCATCACCTGTAGTTGCATCGCCCCCTCATCATCCCTATTATTATTAAAGTATTCGTTATAACGTCCTATTGTCCATTTAGCCCTTTAATAACTAATTTCGCTTACCCAAAGTTATTCTTATTTCCGTACACCGTCGAAGTTAAATTGACCTTTCACCCATATTATTTTCATAAGCTCTCCCATCAACAGTTACATTTGGTGCCGATTGTGTGGAATGAATAATTAACTCCCGACCTAAAATTAATAAAATATAATTAGCTCATCAGATAAATTAAAAGAAATAATCGAAAAAACATCCATGGCTCAACTTTTTAATTCAACCTCATACTACAATCCCTTTAACCAGCCTAACCAACCCGCTACTATTGAAAACCTCGTTGCACTGATTAGGGCACTTATTCAACAAATACAGGTCAGGTCGCCCTGTCCCATCTAGCCCTAGTAACCATGTCTTCGAGCTCCCTGACGATATAATAAAGAACACGACGAATTTCAAGGAGAGATTCGCAATACACAGGAAAAATTTTTCCTAAGAAACCTTTGTGCCGAAGAAGGAGCCACCCATCTGTGAGTGCCCGAATATAGAGCGCTTAGATAAAAAGTGCAATTTGTTTCTAACAACACTTACCACGGAACAGCATAAAGTGGTTTTAAATATAATAAACCAAAAATTTCCTGAAGCTACTGATGATAAGCAGATTCCCGAGGCCTTGGAATTTACATTGGGCTATTAGAAAATATAATAATTATGGAGAAGTCAGGAATAAAGGAAACAACACGATCGCCTTCGTATATCAAGGCGTCTTGTAAAAAACTTCTCCCAGTAAAGTCAAGCCGACTTGCCGCGACCACCACCCTTAAATTACATGATGTTCCTGAAGGAAACCTGGAAGTAGATTTGAGGACTTAATTGACGGTTATCTTGACGTCTTAAACACTGAACCCAAAACTGACTTCCCGCCAAAGAGTAATCATGGAAAAATAACCCGGTCATGCAGATGGAATAAACAAACCTGGCTATTGTTATCGAAACAGAATAGGAGATGAAAAAGGCGAATATGAAGCCTTCGTTTATCAAAGACCAGCAGACATGAAGAATGCTAGTATAATGGATAATGTTGGTTACTTGTATCAACATGGAATCGAAATTGAGGACGAAGGTCGGTATTCGAATATTATGAAAAACCTGCTAATACGGGTTATGGAGAGGGATTGGTGTTAAAAAAGCCGAAGAAGAAAATGATTAATTCGATCTTTAATTTGATTATCTAAAAGACTTCGATAAAAATAAGTTGGTATTTAAACTGAAATAGAAGTTGAAAAGCACGAACCTAATGCATTCGACCATTATCAAAGATCCAGTGAAATGAATAATAGAATACAGGTTGTTAGCTATCGTGAAACCGGTAGAGAGACTGAAAAAGACGAGAATAAAGTACCTGTTTATTATCAACAATCGGCCGAGACGGACGAAGCGCAAGATCGTCCGTTTGTTATCAAAAACCTGCCGAGGTTGGTGACCCCGTTGAAATAAGTGACGATGTGCATGGAAGTGAAAAGGTTGAACAAAGGAGTGTGAATGAGTGGTATGCGAAGGATAAAAAAGATGACGAGTTAAATAAAATAAGTAACCTTGAGAGTTCCAAGAATCGTAAGCGTCTATACGAAAGTGGATGATAGTAAAAAAGATGACGATGGGAAGACGATTATTGATGAGAAGAATGAACGAATAATATATAAGATAGAAGGACCGATTAAAAAAAGTGAAACATACCTTCTCCGTAAAAGAACTAATACTAAAAATAATACACCCGCATTAAGTAACCCTGCGAAAATTAGTCGCCATGATGATGATCTCGACGAATCACTTGCTGATCTAGATAAAGCTCTAGAATTGAACTAAAGAATGCAAGAACATTAGAAGATAAAGAAAGAAAACCAAAAAAGGTAGTCGGAAGTCAAGGGCTAGTTTACCCAGTAAGAAAGAGGGTGAAGCAATGCCTGCCGACTCTAACGAAGTAATTAAATGGTATACAAGATGTGTTGAGGATAATAACCCAACTGGACAATACAACCTCGGATCCTGCTTCCGAAATGGCATAGGCATGATTAAGAACGATTGGATGGTATCTAAATGGGTTTTGAAATCTGCGAAACTTGAGAATAAAATTGAAAATAATGGTATGCGTTTAGACGATCGATTTGAAGAATCAATAATGAAAATTAAGAATAGTGTGAATAAAGGTGCCGGAAATGAAAGTTCAGATATATTCAATCAATGGCTCCGATACTTACTAATTGACTGGCCCCTTACTTCCATCTTCGATCCTGGAGGAAATATTCGTTTCATACTAAAAGGATCATGGACCACTCGGGAACTTCAGATTAAAAATTATCCTATCTAATTTCGCAGGAGCTTAATCCCAAGGGGGAGGCATATGTAACGAATAAAAATTTAGTTTCTTCATTTTCTAAAATAAAAACTTTATTTTTCTCGCTAAATTACATAACTTATTAGTAATTCCCAATCCATTTTGGTAACTATGTCCAATTTTGGTAAATTTATCAATTTACATTTCATAACTTATACAAAAATGGTAATAGCACATGTGAAATCGCGTATATATCCAAATTATCGCGAATACGCGATTACACCAATTTGTTGATCCCTGCGCCTTGAGCGTATACACTGTGTATAGGGATGGCAACGGTCGGTCATTTTCGGCTTAGCCGACCGGCGGCTAAGCCGCGGCTATCTCGTGATCTAGCGATCCAATTTGGACTACTGGATCGCGAGATACAGCTGCTACAAAACGGCTAGCCGAAAATGACTGACCGTTGCCATCCCTAACTGTGTACACACCCAAGAAATCGCGAATACGTTCAAATTAGAGCGAATTCGTCAGATTAGAGCGAAAGCACCCTATATATAAAAAAAATGTATATAAGCACTTAGAATTCAATAAAGGAACAAAAATTCTCATCCACCCTTAGTTACCAACAAATAATAAAATAAATCTACTTATCTGAATTTTCCTTTGTTAAGTATTCTCCGAATTCGTCTTGTAACTTTAATAAACCCTTTCGAGACTCAATTCGACGGACTGAATTGACTTGTAACTTCGATCTGGATTATTAAGACTCGGATTCTAGAACGTTTGTGGAACCATTCACATTAGTGAATTGTGGTAGAGAACGACGCATACGATTAGTTATTCGACTCTGGTAATCCAGCACAGTCCTTAAGATCACCACTTTACTGTAGTATCACCCTTAACAGAATCATCTGTAATTGCATCGCCCTCATCGTCCCTATTATTATTAAAGTATTCGTTATAGCGTCCTATTGCCTTTAATAAATATAAAAGACCTATTTCACTTACCCAAAGTTATTCTTATTTCCCGTACACCGTTGGAGTTAAATTGGCCTTTCATCCATATTATTTTCATAAGACATTACTGTTCCGTCTCTATGTTGTTAAATCGTGTGAATCGTAAAAATCTTGTATGCACGTACATACGTTACGATACGATACGTATTAGTTACAAGTTATGGCATGGCATGCAACACAGGTTACGGCATATGTAATTATATCGGTGAATTCGCAAGTTTCGATTTTCCGCATTTTTAATCGACAAGTTGTAACTGATTTTCGACACGGCACATTCCAATGATTCAAGTTTCATCTACACCTCTAGTCAGTATTATACATGTGACCGAAACCCCAGGATTTTCGGACCTAGTTTCAGTTTCGGATTTTATTAATTTTCGGACCAGGATGA